ATCTTTTTATTCACCTCCATGGATTGCTTGGAAACCCAATTTCTTTTGTACTTTATTTCACAGTTTTTTTTTCTTTTTTTTTAGGGGTTTCCATCGTTCTGCAACAACATGGGTTAAAGAGGACTTTTCTTGCACTTCTTGACTTCTCCTTTTCCTTTTTAACCATCAAGTAAGGTCTAGGATTTATCAATGTTCTTCCAAAGAAAGGTAAGGCTCAAAGAGTGTTCAAAAGAGTTTCATACGCTCACGAGTAGGACACAAAAGAGGTATATGTCAAATTTGGCTCACACTCTTTAAAGTTGTCTAAGATCATTTTAAGAGGACACCTTTCTAAATCAATCAGACTAACATGGCAAATTATAGGTTTATTCATCCATGGTTCAAAGCAAGCTAATCACACAAGACATCGATACTTAAAGCAAACAAGACTACACACTTTCGATAGTGTGCAATGGTCATTACAAGAGAATCAATTCGATTAATGTCTAATCACAACTAGATACAAAGAGTTCACATATTATTTATGCAACTTCATTTGGCATCATCGTAGCCGTACATTCATGTTCGTTCAATTGAGAGCACTATTCAAGTCATCGGTATTGATCAAAACCGAGACTCAATTTTTTGCAAAAGAACAGCCACATTCAACTCGCAAAAGGTGGTAAATATTTGCGAAAAATTCAAACTTTTTCGGAAGGGTCAAAATCATTTTGCAAATAAAAATAAAACAATCGCAAAGCAGTTTTAAAACACAATTAAAAATAGATAACCCAAATGTACATCAAAACACAAGTATCCGAAACAAGCAAAACAAGGTGGGCCTCCCCCCACCACAAATAAGAGCTTTTGTCCTTAAATGCAAATAACATTATCCAGAGTTGAAGAAAGATAACACATAGAAAGGGGTAAAGAAGGGTCATGTCTATGCAGTCTCTCTATCTGCCACAGCATCAGTGCCCGATGCATCTCCCTGACGTAAAACAATGGTCCCCGGAGTATTGTTGTTTTGGTTCTCATTGCTTGCCTTTGACTTGGCCTCTGCAGCAAGATTAGCTGCAATCATTTGGTCTATCTCATGAGCTGCTCCAAAGGCTGGTATTGCATTAACTAAAATTCGAGCCCATAGAGGCACATTAGGGTCAATGGGAATTCTTCTCTTTGCCCTGGCTTCCTTGGTATATTTCCTTTGTCTGGCTAGCTCTGTTTTCTTCTCATCTTTTTAAAACTCTCGTGCTCTTATGTACCTGGGTGGATTTGGTCTAGGCATTTCTGCAAAGACTTCGAGGATAAGTTAGATAGCAATTCAAACAGGAGAAAAAAGGCATTTCTAGGTGTGGAATCGCTTAGCCAAGCTAGTTGGCGAAATGCTTATCCTGTTAGGCCAATCATTGAAAATGATGTACAATTGATATAAGGGTAGACAAAGGGCGAACAAGGGATTTTTTTCGGCGAGTCGCCGAGTGTAGATTGCGAATTAAACTGACCGCCGAAAGTCACAGATTAATCAATACATAAAGTATTCAGTTAAAGACGAAATGGGGACGTTAGGCAAACCGCTGAACAGCTCGGCGGATTTTATTCATCTCATCGATCAGCTTAACGTGTCTATTTTAAACCCAGCCTTTCAACTTTCACCTCGCAACCCCAGATAATGCAACTTAATCTTATATAACTCAGTTTCAACGAAGACCCATAGAAATTTCTATTCCCACCGCATAACAATTCAACTCTTAGCATAGCCAAGTGGGAATCCCTCAAATCATGCAGAAAATACCAAGTCATGATTGAAAATATATGCAATCCCAGTAACTTAGAGACTCGGCAGAGATTTTTATACTATCAATCATTATGTAAATGGGTACAAGTTTTGAAAAAGTAACTGAGGGGTTCACTTACCAAACTTTGGTGCCGATTTAGATAGTACTAACGTGCTAGGCGACAATGCGGATCCAAATCCGAGCACAATCCTACACTTACAATACTCTAAAAATGCACGAAATAAAAGGCTAGAGTGCGGGTGTGAGTTTAATAGGACGAAGCAGGGAGAAAAAGTGAATGAAATAGAACTTTTAAACCTGTGACTTGCAAAAACCGTCCAGTTAAAGCTCATTCGGCGCTGTTTGTCAAGTTCACCCATTCACTCGGCGACACGCCAAGTGTCTAGTCTCTTCGCCAACTGTAACAGGCTCTGCAGCTCATAAGAGGATTCCAATCGACAGTTTGCATCGAGATCACCGACATGGTCGGCGATGCGCCACTAATTTTCTTTAGACCGCCGAGTTTTACAGGATCCAAGCTAATAATGCCTTGAGTCAGACGACGGAAAGAATCGAGTTTGCCGATCTTGTCAGTGATCCGCCAGCTGGACCTGTTGCTTGCCTCCATATACTATCTCAATCACCTCCCTTACTTTAACCTGTACAAATAACACACCATTATTCTACTAGTAGTTAAGAAATACTTAAAGGGTTTTGGGTTGGCTCCCAAATAGCGCCTTAGTTAACGTTGTGGCACGACGTAAGTCCACCTTCAGACCTCACTCTTGGGGTTAGCCATAGAATCACTAGGCAAACCCCCTTGTTGTCTCGGATTGAGATGAGACGAGATATGACCCATTTGAGTTTCTAACTGTTTAATCGAAACTGAATGAGATGTGACAATTTGGCTAAGGGTAGACACGTCTTCTTTCATGCCTTTCAGCATTTTATTTTACCCTTCAACTTTG